GCCCATATTTAAAAAAAATAATAGTATCTTCTGAGTACACCTTGAATATTGCAATAAAATTGTAATAGGAATGCTCATAATATGTAATGCATTCTTAAAGAAGCAGAATGCAGCTTTGCCAGACCGTATATATTAAACTTGTTCTGCCTCTTGTGATTGCCATTTTAAATACCAGTTTCAAGTCGTGGTGTTTTTTCACTGGACGTACTTTACCTTGCTAACATAACAGTTTCATGCAGATGTTTAGGTTGTGTGCAGTATTTCCTCTAGAGCCACAAAATTCTGACAAAATTTCCATATCTGAGAGTGAGAATTGAGCCTCCTGTTGTTTATAGCAGTCAGTCCCATCCAGTTTTATTGGTGTGCCCAGGGAGACATTTCTGTATTACACTGACCGTGTTTAGGCACTGAACGGGATGTCACTAAACATATATGAAATGAGTTTGGATTTATCACAAACTGTCTCGTACTTACAGCTGTAATAGTAATGCGACCAATAGTTCCTGATCACTTCCTGTTCTTTGAATGAGATACCACTGTAATGGAATTCTGCCTTGCAACAGCTGATGGGCAGACATACTGACTTGCATGGAAGTGCAACGTGTGTGCTGCCTGAAAAGCAAATGCATCAATTGCTTTTTGAGTCAGAATAACTTCAGGTTTGGATAACTGAATGCTTCAGTTACCACAGTTGAGATTTCCACATTTTTATATAACACTCGATGTGTTTTCCCTATAAGCCAAAGGAGAGGGAAACTCTTACTCTCACTCTTCCCATCCTCCCTTAGACTTCTGAGTTACAGCTCCGACTTCTACTGTTTGCTTATTACTTAAGATATGTTTATGTGTTTGGGATTGACTTTGCCTTCCTTTCTCGCATTCAGGAGCACTTCATCATATAAGTACATCCTGTTCAGTTTTGTCAGAACTGCATCACAAGGTGATGTTTAGCTCCCCGGCAAGCTCACGTTGAAAGCCTGCCTGGCGATTTCAGTAGCACTGTACCGAGAGCCATAGTATCCAGCATTTAAGCCTGGGTGGGTCTTGTGTTGGTCTTGTGCACTAGGGTAAATTTCCCCTGAGAAAAGTAGAAAGCAAGTACAAGAAAGTTCAGTTGTCGGATAATGTTAACTGATAGTTGGTATTATGGATTTCTTCTCCCCCGGAATTTTGTTCCCAAGTGCACATATATGAATCTTTGTTCTTGGATTATGGCAGTAATGCAGTGAAAATGAGGTGATAGCTCTCTAATCATATAGGCTCAACTAACTTTTATCACCGTATGAAGTATTTCGGAGTGATTTCTAAACGAGTGCAGGAAATTGCTTCACCCACTGCAACCTGGTGCTCATGAGAGCCAACACAGCCCAGATAGCTCCAGTGAGGAAATGCATCGTGGATTCGTCACATCACATTCCCTCAGAAGCAAGTCAACACATTGTTTGATTTAATTTCAAAATATTGTGGCAGAGCCTCCACTACCTTTAAATGCATTTCTGCCAGCACTTGTCCCGGTTGCATTCAAGTCAAATACCTCCTATGGATTGCAGCCTGGCCCCCGCTCTCGCTGGGCTGCTTGCATTTGAAGTAGCTCAGTGTGGCAGACAAGGCTGTCGGCTCAACATCCGCCTCAGAACCGCCTCAAGATATTTAGATACTTAAACAAATAAACCTACAGTCTCGTAAATAGGCCGTGATGCGTACATATAATTTACTCGAAGTATTAACAGCTTGAGTTTCTCGGAACTATGAAACATTGTCTTCTGGTCTTCATACGTAGGTCAGAAGAATCTCTGCGAAATCAGTTTGTTTTTTTTTTTTTCCCCAGCGAGCTGCAGTGAGAGGCACCCCTGTAGAAGTAAGATAAGCCAAGCTGAAGGATCAGTGACAGTCATACAATTTCTGAAACGAATGCTTCCCCTTCAAAAGTGATAGTTTCATTCTTTCTCAGCTCAATTCTTTCTCAGGAAAGTTATTGTCTGCTGTGGTACTTGTTTTTACATTTCCATTTTGCAAATATTTTCTCTGCTTTTTTAATAAACAGGGAGTGCACCTGCTGCACACAAGGAAGAAATTACATTTATTCCTCAGAAAAATAGATTGATTTCTACACCTATGACTTCTCAGTAAATAAAAGCTGATGAGCTGTCACAGTCCTCTGTAGAGTGCAGTGAAATATGTTATCCCTTGGGAATTTTTAACATAAAGTGATCTCCTTTTTGAAGAGATAAAGTCCAAACTAGTAAACAGTAACTAATTAATAAGATTATAATAGCCTAAAAAGACATTTGTTGGGCATCAAATTGCGGTTTAGCCAACCGTGCAACACACCAGTTTTAGTGATGGGTACTGTCCAAGCTGGAAGCCAGGAAGGTACCATTTGCCTCTGAAGTATTTCGGCTTCTGCTACAGATACTGAATATTCCTTCTTAAGCCAGATGGCCTCTGCTTGTGATACAATTAAAATGCCTTACAGAAAAAAAAAATGTTGACTCTCATTAATGTCCAATGGCAGGGACTGTTCTGTTCCATACGACTTCATTATGTCATCAAAGTAGAGACATTTCCCGTATAGCAGTGTGGTAAACTTTCCCAAACCCTTCTTTATGACAAGCTTGGTGAACATGTCATTATGAGACACAGAGTATTCAGTTCTTTCAGCTGCATCAGTTTGGTATTTAGGAAGGCATTGTGGAAGAAAGCCTGTGCATCAGATCTTGTCTCAGCTGTCATTTCCAAAGACACAGTGCCACATAAGTGATTATTGACTGACAAACTGAAAATAAGCAGGATTAGTGACCCCACCAGCCTGTAAAAGTGAAGAGAAAGGCTTCAAGAACACAGGCTAGAAATCAGCCAATATAAATTAATTCATTTCCTTCGTCTCTCAAAATAGGCTTAACTTTAGCGTAATTTTCCTATAATATTTTTTTAAATAAATGCTTTCAGTCTGTAAGTGCTGCAAGAAAACAAGATCTAAAGAACCTGGATTCATCATTCATGCCAGAGGACATAGTCATGCAGGTCTTATTGCAGCATTTCTTATTCAAACTGTCCCTTTGGCACTGTGAATGTAGAAAATTCATTTAATTCTCCCCCCCTCCCCAAGGCGTCGGAAGACAAACACATCACCACACAATAACACCAGCTGTAGAGAATGAGAATAATTAAATTCTACAGCTGAAAGCAGCAGTTGATCAGCATCAACATCTTCCGTCCATGTGAGTGTGTGGTCCTCATGTAAAGCTAGCCTGGAATTTTCTCACAAAATGAAACATGTCATTTGCAGTTAATTTTTTCAAAAGGCTTTTTAGATCAAAAGTAAGATTCTGGTCAAAATCAGAGAGAAGGAAACAGTCTGCTTTATTCCAGTAACTTTGGTCTTTAAACAGGTCCCATTTTTGTACATGTTGGTACAGTGATTTAAGCTTCAGAGATGTAAAGCTTCTTTTTTTTCCATCTAATAAATATTTGGTTATTCATATAACCATAGAGCAAATCTAGGAGCAAAGGTGGAGGGCCCCGCCTGAGAAGCCTAATGAGCTCCACCTTTGAGCTCCCAAATGCTGGTGATCAGGATATTTTTCATGCATGTGAATCCCTGGACTCGGTTAGGCATCTAGGTCCTGCCTGTTATGGGGTATGCGGATGCAGCCTGGCTTCTTTATTTATTCTAACTGCTGAATAAGAAGGCTTTGGAGCACGGAGTCTTTTTTGTCTGTCCTAATTAGGATCAGACCCCTCTAAAGTAGGATGACTCTCAGTGCACACCTAAATAGCCTCAGACCTTGCTCTTCACTGAACCTGTTATGCCCCTGTGTCCCAAGATATTGTTATTTTTATGCATATTTTCTTAGGTCTAAGTAGTCACAATGTTTATTTTAAGAGACATGTTGAGAATTGCTGGAGAATGTTTTGATAGCAGGAAGGTGAAGGATTTATGTTGCATGCTTGGTGTATGGCATGCAAAGGGGTAAGGATGCTGTACAGGACAGCACAAAATGGGTG